AATCAGGCCTGCATCTGGCCTCCCCGCTACCGGCAAAGCGACAGCTTTTGCAAATCTACTATCTTCCTTCCGTACAGAATCTGTTCCCTCGGGCCAAAAATCTATCTCAATATCTTCGCTGCTGCTTGGTTGTGTTTGAGGTGACTCAGACTCCAGTTCATCAGGCCCCGGGAAGTCATGTGGCCGAGAATGGGCATACAAGATGCGCTCATGACTACCGTTTGTCAGGCTGACGTCGACCGGAACGGGGGTAGGTACAATGGCTACTGGTGAGAGAGCCTCGGATCGTGTGGAATCAAGTCCAGACGGGCGTTGTGATGGGTTGGATGCACCTTCCAACTGGGCCATTCGGACTTCGTGGGGTCGTGGAACGAACAGTCGTTCATTTCCCGCCTCCCTACCATCACCTTTGCTTGCCCGTTTGCGTCCGTCGTTGGGAGTGTGTCTACGGCGGGACGAAATAGAGTCAGACTGGCTGGCTCGCACCGATTTGTCTGCATCAAAATTTGGTTTCTTTGGCTGATTCTTGCCCTGTACCAAACCACACTCTGTCGCCTGGCCCATCTGAGAGCGTGACTTTTTGCCAGAACCTCCGTTGAGAAACTTCACTTGCACATGATATGGCGAGACGAGGTCGTGTTCTGAGACGCTGGTTGAGGCCTGCTGTTGCAGGGCCCGTCGACCATTTGCCATGCCAGAAAAGCAGTCGCCAGACTCATCGATGGGTCTACAAGATGTACCGAGCATTCGGAGTGACGAGTAATGCAATGGGGGTTCCCGAAGGGCATCCTGATGAAGGTCTTCGGAAGAGAGTTTTGACATAAAACTTCGCCCTAAATGACCGCGAGAGTCAGAGGCGATAATATTCGAGTGCTCAGCCGACAGATACCAGGAGTCAGGTGTTTTAAATTTCTAGACAAACAGATGAAAATCAAATAATACATTATTTTTAATACTTAAGGAAATTTATGGAATATACACCATAAGGGTACTATAAAAATACAAAAGTTGCATGATTGTTAGAGCAAATACGAGTAAAAGATGAGAGTATAAAACGAGATGTATTCACCCAATTTCGTTTAAGGTGATGAAGGACTGGTAGAAGAAGAATTTTCCCACAAT